TATATATATATATATATATATATTTTCAAACTTTATGAACAGTTTTGTATTTGCATATATGATTGTATTAGGTGACATTCCAGCTTCACTTTCCACTGAAACTTATTATGCAATCCAAGTGTATAGCTCAAAATACCCGGATTCTATGTGAATTTCCTCAAAATTTTGCAGTCAATGAAATTATACAAAAAATCTCCAAGTGTTAAAATTCTGTGCAAAGAAATTAAACTGAAGAGATAGAAGACAAAAAAGAAGAGAAAAAGTTTAATAGCAAAATTATAAAAAAACAAACAAGAATATTTATGCTATTAAAACCAAAAATCAGTAGCTGACAACTCAGAAACAGCTATTACCTGAAAAATTCTTGATTTAGGGACATGTTTATACCACACTGACGATTTTTTCAGGAGCAATTTTATCCAGTGGTGTGAAATATTTTTTAACATGGTCAAGGGTTTCATGAAGATATTGTTCTGGTCCCTGCGCATACGTGCTATATACGAATCCTGTACCATTATCAGTGAATGGAATAGCTGGTTCAATTTGGGTGCCTTCATGCCATTCATTAAATGATGTAATTGTCACAATATTTGCCTGAAATTTTTTCATTTACTGAACTTATAATTCCCTTCACTTTTTAATTCCAAAACCACAATAAGTTAAGAACTATATTTAGTTACGTTCAGAAATTTTTTTAAATTACCCTTGCAATATGAGCCATTTCAAACATTTCAGCATAATATTTTCCATTTTCGCGATTTCTTAAATTTTTTTCATTCCAAGGTCGGACACGACGGTCATCATAGCCAGGACCCACTGACGGTACGAAAAGCAAATTATTTTTTCTGAAAGCAGTCATTAAAGAAATGATTAATCAAATGTAATGCGCTACTGCAATTAAAGTTGCAGTAGCGCATTACATTTGATGTATGTTTGATCACTAGATAAATTTTCAGTTGATCACTAGATAAATTTTAGCTCTGCATTTACTAACTTCATTTTCTGAACTTGAAAAGAACTGCTCTGCATGATAGGAATATTATATAGATCTGTATTTTCAAGTTTTTGAATTAAATTCTGCAAAACGTACCTGCAAAAGGAGCTCAATGAAGGCCAATTAGAAGGTGTTGAACCATAAGAAAAGCCTTCCGTTGCGAAATATGTATAAATTCCATCAAATCCTGCCTTGAGTAAAGTATGCCTATCCTCAGATTTGACCAAAAGTCCTGAAATTTGGTGTAAATATTCCTAATCAGGGAAACTAATTTTACTGAAATAATATAAAACTGAATATACCAATAGAAGATTCAGAAAAGAAACTAAAACTCTCTGAATCAAACAATCCAATTTTTGAAGAGAATAAAGTTCCTCCTCACCAATAAAAAGAATATCGTATTTGCCTCCTCTCACTGAAAATTTGCCATTTTGCGTAGTTAATGCTTTCCACTCAGCAGAAGGTACGAGATATGAATCGTAAAAATACAACACTGGTAAATTCTTTACTTCAAAAAGCTCTCCTTTTTGTTCACTTTTATTAACGTCTGAAATATTAACAACTTCAAGATTATTTATAACTAGGCTTAAAATAGCAATTATAGAAGTGCTCTTTTGAAACTAAAGCAAACTTTGAGCATCTTTAGCTCTTCTTCACACAGGTATGTGACAAAACTTGAAGTTTATGAAAGTTTGCTTTAGTTACTTGTATTCCAAATCATTCTAATAAAAATTGGATTTGAAGAAGAGCATTCAGACATTGGATTCGAAGTAGTGAAGCTGCAACCATTAATTTAAAAATGGAATACCTACAAGCTAAAGTGAATTAACTTATGCACTTTTCCTCTGTTTAGGTTGTTTCATCTTAAAAAGAGCAGAGTGACTGCCATAATTATCGATAATATACTCTATATCAGCGCGAATAGAACTCCCATTCCTGTTTTTGTATGGTTCCATATGAAACGACAATTTCATACGATATTTACCCACAGCATCCAATAAAACAGGCATTAAATCATCCCACGAATGGCCTGAAATTCATTTTTTTAAAAGAAATTAATTTCTTGGCAATTATTTTAGTACAGTAAAGCAATTAGTTCATAAAGCCACATATTTTGCAACGCACTTTCACAGTTAGAGGCTTTTCTCAGACAACAAGCAAAAGTATGTAGCTGATAAATATATTCTATTTCACTGCTCTAATATCTTTCAAACTTTTGTGAAGTCATGCACAATGCTGCAAAAAAATCCAGCCTCAAGGAACTCAAAAAAAAAGAGCGGTAATACTTATACTTTACGACGATATGAATGTTCCGACACATGAAAAACAAACCTTGTTCATCAGCAATTCTAGGAGGATACCAAGAAACAACCACAACGTCTACGCCAGCAGATGACATCCATTTCATGTGCTGCTCAATCACATTAGGATCTCGGCTGCTATAAGGCCCCAAAAGTGGATAAAAATTTGAACCAATGTCTGATGGTGGTACATGAAAACCTGAAAAGGTCTTCATGATATTGGTTTTTATTTTTATGCTACTGTACTCAGAAAAAAACAGATATGACACAAGAAAAAAGATCAAAAGTGAGGTTCTACACGCTTTTTTTAAATATCTGGGTTCTATACAAACCGAAAAATAGCCAAAATACAGAAATGAGGTTTATTAGGTCACCTTAAGCGAAGCAATTTACAAACGATAGTATTTTAAGAAATATAAGATATTGTATGACTAATAAAACACCATTTTACAATGAAAATGCAGTTACCTTTTGTGTATTTTCGTGAAACTTCTGGATTCCAATGAGGAAGATAATTATGATTCCAGTGATAGTATTTTTTATCAAATTTCGGGTTCCCATACCAAGGATAATAAAATATTTGCACCGAATATTCATGCTCACTCTAAAAAAATCAGTGACTTATCTGTACAATTCAATCCTAAAAGCAATTGTTACGTGCTCTCAAGTAGAGAGAGAAGTTAAGATGATATCGATATCTAAAATTTACCTCAGGCAAAGATTGTGTTGTAATGGTTGGTTTAATTTTCATAAGAGAAAACGATTGTTCAGCCACTGAATCGTTTTTCATTTTATTCCTCAATCCTAATTTTGGATTATGAGAAAACCGGGATTTTCGGATAAAAACCTACAATTTGAAGTATGAACTGTGCTGAAATATCGTGACTTCTGAGATACGAAGCAAAAATTGGATCCTGAAATTTATGAAAATTTTTTTCTCCAATATACGAACCTGTCTACCTTGCGTATATACCAAATGAAAAGCTGCGAAAACACTTGCAGCAAGAGCAACCAAAAATAACCATCTCATTAAGAAAGATGAACCCAATACCATGCCTAAATAAGCATAGCCCACTCACACAACAAATTATCAATATGTAAAAGAGAACTTTTTATTGAGAATAAAGGTACCACGTATGTAATCTTAAAAGCTTGATTATTGCTCATAGATCGATAATAAGGACACAACAAATGTATTGAATGATTAAAAACAAATGTGCGTGCGTTTGACAACCTGACTATTAATTTGAAAACATCTGGAAAGTTAATATACGTACCATATGCTAGTACTGACTTGGTAAGTGTTTGTGAAACAGTCTATTACTGAGCGTGAACTGATATAGAAAAACAAAGTTAACTGCACTGTGCACACAGTTGTTGTCTAAAGAATTAACGAAAGGGTTTTCACTACTGCTATGCTCTCCCGCTGAAGATGCAATGAGATAGAAAACTTGAGCAAATGTATTTAATTTATTCACTTTTTATTACAAAAGGAACCAACCGAAAGCTTGATCAGCGCTATACGTTCATTTTCAAGATAAAGTTTGCTGCGCAGTTTGACAACCTAATAATTAGAAAGCATCCCGACAAAGTTTCTGAAAACGCACCAAAAAAGTTAATATTTAACGAAGACAAGCTGAGGCAATGAAGATGACGCTTCCAATAGTAGTCTTTTGCAGATAAAACACGAATAAGCAAGCAGTAATTATGACAGGCGATGAGTACGTGTTTAAAGGAAGTTAAAACGCTACATGTACCAAATCTGTAACTATTTGTTGTGTGTGTGTGTCCTAAATTCCACACAACAAATACACCAATTGAATGAGGTCTCATAAGACTACTCTAGCATATGGCATGTCTTGAAAGCTTAATGTACGACATAATTTGGACTCTTTCCACCGAGGTAGAACAACAAATCATATTAACTACCACAATATCAGTAAATACTAGACAAACTGGAATAATCCCTTGATTAAAAACAGGCTGAAACATTACGGCCTGTAAAATTGTGTAGAATTATAACAGTTTACTTGCCCGTTTAACACCACAAAACTTTTTATAACTTTCATCTTAGCTTCAGTCTTAAGCCATATCTGAGTTGGTATCAGGCGCGAAAAGTTATTAGTAGGCGATGATTGCAGTGGTTTGTGAGCAGTGAGAAAAAAATGTTGGTTGCTATGATTACATCAATAACAGAAAGTAATGGCAGTGAAGATTTTGAATGGATGAGCAGTAAAAGCAATCTAATTGCGAGATTCTGTGCACAAAACAGCTTTCTTCTGCTTCATTCACATGTTTTCAAGTTAATTTCATGGCAAGGAGCAGAGCAGTCTTCCACTTTCACGCACTGGCCGAGAAAATTTGTTAACAATCGCTGAGAATCTCTTAATTACTGGAAATTGAATAAATTGGAACGCGAAGTAGTGGACGGTTTCTAAGGAATCGGGAATATTGCACTGAACAAATTTTGCCAGTTAACGATCTGTGAAGTCAAAAATAGCAGCGGTGTATGATAGAGTATAAAGTAGAGAGTAGATGTGATGCTATTAACATGCATATTCGTGTTTAACGCTGTTCAATTTTATTTAAACGAAATATTTTTCTGAAATATAATTTCTGATATCGAATTGTACTAAAGCATAAATGAGTGTCATTTTCAGACATGCATTACGAGAAAGAATAACACGGAAGGAAAGAAGGATAAAGACAAATTTACTAAAACTTATTTCAATTAATTTCAAGAATCAAAATTCTTACGGTATTTCATGCAATCCGCCAACAATTTGAATTTAATATTTACAACTTTTCATAAAAGGCACTTTAAATAAAGACGAGAGAGCGAAACTTTGCGCCATTGCTAGTTATCACTTGTTGAGAGTAATGCAAGCAATGATGCAGTTTTTCATTCTGAGAATAGATAAGAGTATTTACTGGCTTGATTAGCCGGGCGAGTGAGATAAAAGCTACACTTTATTTTATCAGTTTTGAGCGCTAAAAATTCTTCTTTCTGCAATGCATGCATGCACAGCCTGGGACCTAGCAGCGAACATCTCGAGCAGAGGCTTCTCAAGTTAGCATATTTATAATTTCTATTCACGCATATTTAATCATTTGAATGCGTCGTAATGCATTCTTTCACTAGCAATTTTTCCCACTGCAAACGAACACCAAATAATCCCCTTGTAAGCAAAGTGATATTTAAAAAGTGGACGGAATTTAGAAAACACTGAATCTTTAATTTCAGTTTTTAGAAGCATCTCAATAATTTCAACTTTATTCTTCAAATTTAGAGTGGGGAATTCATTTGCGAATTATTCGCAGTGAAATAATGTATGAGCTTTGTCAATAAGTTTTGTTTAAAATATTAGAATCAGTATATAATTTGCAGCATTTTATGGATGCAAACGAATCAAATTTGCAAGCAGTTAAAAGAGCGATAATTGGGAAAGAGGTAGAATAGTAATGCATTGCTATTACTGAACACGTGAAATGAATCTCCACTTAATTTCTTTACTTTTAATTTAACTCCTTTACGTAAAATGATTCTCAGAGGAAGCAATTCTTAATTACTTGCGCATTATTTTCTCTTTTGTGTATTCCTAAGAAACATCTCCTTCCTTACTTTTACTCTCAAAAAAGTGATTAATTAGCAACGCTTTCTAATTTGACTGCGCGATGATATCTCCCAGTTCATTAAGTTCGACAAGTTTACAACTCATAAATACTCTGTGAAATAAAACATAATGATTAGTGTATTTAATTCAAATGAAATAGCTTTCGAAAATCCTTGAGGACAAGCAATAAATACTATTGTACTAGCTTCCACAAATATTTTCAACTGGGAAGTTTATAAAGTCAAAATTTGATGTAATCAACAGCTAACTTTGGCTCTTTTATCTTTGGCATTCATTCACATCAATTTTTTGCAATATAATTTTTCCCTCATGACACTTTTCATTTCACTTATTGAATATTATGATAACATTGCAGTATCTAATGTTAGCTAGTTTCTTCTCCACTTATTATTATTGCTTATGATTACACTGCGTGTTTAAATGATTGCAGTTTTCATGAGGAAATACTCGCTACAGTGATTCTTTTAATCCAAGCATGATTGTTTCGTTCCTTCCAGCAAGCAGTTTTTGTGAGGAATTGTTGAGTAGTACGTACTCTCGTGAACTGCTATTCATTACGTTATGAATTTTAAATGCTAAATTTCGTGTTCACAAACAGTTAAACTTCGCTGTGCTAAATACTGCAGTAGTGTTATTGTTATTTAAATTTTTGCGTCCCTTGTTTGGTTTTTTCAGTTTACTTTCTCTGATAAAGTTTGCCAGCAAATATGACTACAACAGTGCAGAAAGAAAATTAATTGTCTCAAATCAACGCAAAATCTCACGTGCTCTCAAACTGTCTACTCTATACTTGCTTCTATCTCATTTCTCACTGATACTACTATTCACATACAGAGAGCAACGATTTTTGGCAAAAAAAGTGAGAGTAAATTTGTTCAATTACTTTGAGGAACAGAAAGGTTCGGTTGGCTGCCGAACAATCATAACCAATATATTCTGCTTTAACCGCAGAGAATCCTTTCCATGCTTTTTAATTGAAAAATGGATTCTTAATACGTAAATGGATTCTTTTCATAAAAAAGTGCACTTAATTGAAGAAGCTGACGCAATGCAGCAAATGCATTTGCCATTTATAGCATCTTCGCATAATGCGTGCAATCCATCATTCAAATAATTCATTCACGTTCCACTCTTCCGCTGACTAAACTACTCTTACTCTCCTTTTTCTGTGCATTCATTTTCTTTCAGACAAATAACGGCACTTATGAAATGATTGTAATACTCGACCCACTGCTAACATGTGAAATGAAGAAACAGTATTTTTAAATGAAAGCAGGACCTGCTCGTTGCCATCGTCACAACTGTTTTAGCAACAGAAATTTTAGGATTCTTCTTTCTTACAGCAGTAATTTTCTAGTCCAGGTGCATAACATCACTAAGAACAAGCCACTTGGACATCTTAAACTCTGCTCAACAAGCTAGCCTAACTAACACACGGCACTACATTGAAAATAATTATGAAATAATCTATGCTGTTTCCTCTCTAATTTGTAGGAGGATAAAATGGCACCATGATCTACGCAGGTGTAATAATGATACTTTCTGAGAGTACTTCCACGGAAGTAACGTCTAACGTTAGCCGACAGAAACCCTTAACTTCTTTTTGCTTTTTTTTGATGCACTTTACAGATTAGTCGAACATTTCGCAGCCTTATGCACAACAGTATGTGGTAGGTGTGCATATGGCATCACATGAAATAACATTTAAGAAACAATGTCAAAAATAGTTTTCTGCTTAATTTGTACCACACGAAATAAAAGATGAAAATGACAGGTATTAATCATTTCACAGCAGTTTCCAACTTCTGCTTTATTAATAAAGGTAATGAGTAGTTCATCAATAATACATCAAGACAAACCGGGCAAAATAATATAACTTATAATAATATAACACGCTTCACGCAAAAAGTCCGTGAAATATTTGTCAGAAATTTTCTGGGAAAGAACAGTTCTATAAAGCGAGAGGAATAACTGAAATAAAATTACTGACTAATTTCAATACTTCACAGGAAAAATTGCAGACGCGACAGTTACTAAGCGCGCAATAACAAAAAGTGACAACAAGCAAGATGTACCAATCTAACCGCGTACTTTATTGACTATCAACTGAATTAAATTATGACTTCTAATGCACTTTAAATTTGCAAACTGTGTGCACAGCTTGAAAATTCAGATATGAAGGCAGGACAAAATGCGACGCAGAAAATTTACAATAAATAGTAAGCTAAATCTTAAAATTATAATCAAAAATATGACGTCTCTTATAACAGAAATACTACGCGTAATTTAACACACCGAGTAACCAGTAGATCAAAATATAAAACAAAAGCTTAAACTAAGAAGTAATCCCTATAGTGCACCAGCGATTTCTACAAACCTCACCAAACATTTTGACATGAGTTCTTTCGCTAATACGACATAATAAAATAACCCATGCAAACTTTTACAATTAAATGATTAAGTACCTACCATACGTAAAATAAAAAAAAGAACAAGATTCTAAGTAATAAAATTTGAAGTGTGATGTGAACTGTTGAAAGTCAATAAATAATTCCCAAAAGAATTATTTACAGTAATTAGATGTGCTGCGAGAAGAACCTAAAACAGAAGACAGATTCTCTTAAAATTTGAATTTGATTCCATAGAAAAAACTTTAAACTACACCAAATGAGAAGACAAACTTCTCACACGTCTACGTGTAGTACCAAATTGCTGAAAATAACGTTCACCGAGCACATCAGCTTCGGTCCATTGCCTAAATCTGAAAAGGATATTAAATCTGCTATGTCACTGAACAGATTTCTTGTAATCCAAAAATAAAAGTCAGAAAAAAATTTTGCAATGCTCTATGGTAAAATTTTGAACAACTATAAGATACCATGCCTTCAGAAATAATATTAATATCATTCAGAATTTACTGTTAAACAATAGAAAAATTACCACTTACCGAGTTAAATGCCTGAATAAACGAAATCGAGTAGGTCGCGCCCAAGCATTACCCATTAGAATTTTCAAACACAAGAGATCCATTTGCTCAACATAATAGAGCAAATCTACAGTTACCGCATAACTAAGCAGCCGAGAAAGATGCTGCATCTGGCTTGTCTGTATTTGTTTGTGTATTAACCTATCTTTATTTAAAATCTTCTTGAATGCTCATTTAAAACTAGAGCGTATTTTAGAATCCATACATGAATAATTTGATGTAAATATTATTCAAGTATCAATTTTCTCACAATTTAGAAATATTGCAGAGTTCTTCTAAAACAATGAGTTCAAGAACACATATTTACTTTCGATGTGATTGATAATTTCTTGAGATTTGGAAAAAATGGTGTTTCAGGAAAATATATAGGATGACAAGTTGTAAGCTGCAACTTCTGGTTATGCATCGTGTTTCGGCAGCGAGTTGTATTTCGTGAATGACTAACCATCTCAATAAGCATATTTATTTGCTCTTTATTGATCTGGAAAAAGGTTACTGGATTATATTTGGAACTTCAAATGTTATTAAGTACTAAAAAAAGTTTCATGCCTGAAAATGCAAAACTTTAGTAATTTATACAAGCTGCACGATTGTAATACATTTTTGAAATAATTGAAAATGTAACCTGTGCAACTACTAATTCAATAATTGGACTGTCAATGAATAACTGCTCGGTTTTAAGCCGAAGTGAGAACAGAAGACGTAAGAGAGCGGTTACATTACTAGCTTTCAATTCCGAATCAACAGCAATACCAAGATGGTTTGGCTCTAATTCTACAATCATCAAAGCCAAAGATGGATGCCAATCATATTCTGCTAAAATTATAAATTTCTCATTATTCATATAAATTTCCATCAAAAAACATTACATTTACTAAAAATAATAAAATAAATTCTTTACGGCTAAAAGCTAAATTTAAAAAAAATGTGTATATGGTGGCTCTTACGATAACAACGAAATGCATACGATGGCAGAAAGAAAAATTACATTCTGCACTAGCTTTGTTGCGCAAATGTCTCAAACCACTATATACTTTAATATCAATCATTGTATACGTATCCAGTCGTTCCTCAACTGCTCTTTGAAATCCCTTTGATATTTGTCGCCATTTGAACACATCAAACAAAGATGCCTAGATGTCCTCAGACTTCAAAATTATTAATGGAATTAACCCTTATTTAAACATTACAAATTAAATAAATTATAAGACACAGCTTTGATAATTATTCCTGTATAAATTGATAGCTAATTGACAATGACACTTCAATTTATATCGAGTTATATTATAGTTAATAGTTAATTGAAGAAAGTGATTTACTTTGTTTATAACTAGCTTGATAATTTCATCGGTAAATTTCGAAGTACAAGCTTGGTTTGAACAACAACGTTGCACGCTTGCCGCTACGTGAAGTGGTAACGTAAGAGCCATTGGAATAAACAAATATCACACTACGTAAATGAATACAATGCTTCCAATTTCTGGAAATAAAACAGTAGTCAATATATCAATGTGGAGAAGAAGAGGAAAAAGCGATACCATGAAAATAAGATATAACCAAATTTTAATACCATGGGGAAGATGTATTTGAAATTACGAATAAATCAAGCTCTTTCATATATTTCTTTTTCTTTCTCTATTCGTTTAATAGTTCGAAATTACGAGGAAACGTTTGTTCCAGTCAAAGTTTATTTACTGAAAAAAGCAGGAAACAAACTCCAAGTACATAAAATTCTTAATCAGCAGATGAAACAAAACGAAAAAATTTCCAATTCAGTGAGTGTCTTCCTGCTTTGACAGAAAAAAACGCGAACAAAATGCTGCCTCTGGTTGAAATTCCCGAGCAAAATATCACAAGTTGTGATGTTCTCATCTATATCAAACATAATGATACCATCATTTCATGTTTTGAATCGATATTTGATCACTCATCAATATGATGATTCAGAGGAAAGCTTTCGTAAATTTTATCAAATTTTATTACGTCATAGCTGCCTGCACTGTATATTTTCCGGTATTTTTACAACCAGCTCTGACAGAAGGTTTTCACTCGAGAAAAGAGAGGTACGAAATGACAAATTGAATTTTCAACCCCTTGATTGCTTGATAATTTCACTATTTCCCGTAACATTGGTTCGATTCTTTTTTGAAACTTTATACTCTATTTTCTATCACAAGAAAAAAAAGCTCACTTGCAGTCTTTCAGCAAACACGCTCAATGATTCTGCAAAAATTTACCTGCTGCATACTGCGAGCTTACAAAAAAGCAAACTTAATAGTTTCATGAAGTCAATACAACATGCCAGTTAAGCAGCAGAAGTGTAAGTTCGAATAAAATAAACTTGAAATGAATACTACTTAAATTAGGTCTGAAATAGGAGATCTTAGAGGATTGCATTTATTTTTCAGCGCCAGGGCATTCAATGCAATTAACGGAATGCTCAATTCTACAACTGGCCTTTCAGTGGAAGATTATAAAAGGTTCAAGTGAGAAACTGAAGCTTACCATCGGAAGAAGATTCTGATGAATATTTCTAAACATGAAAAAAAAAAGAAAGGCTGCAACACTAACTGTGCAAGAAATTTTTACTTGCTCATTTTTAATAACTCTTACTCGTCTCAATATGCTTTTATGAGAAGCAATCTGTGAGAGATTATTGCCATCAGATATTGTCAACCTGCAAGCCGAAAATGATGATAACTTTGCGTTGAAGAGAAAAACACTTTTTACTCGCATGTTACGGTGAAAGCAAATGACGCAATAATTAAATTAAACACGAATAACGAACACAGGTATCATTCATTCTTGCTAATATCATCTAACTTTACAATAATAACGACGGTAGTTTACGCTATAACAAGTACTTATACTTCAATTAAAAAAAAATAATTTCTCTTCAAATTCAGCCAACACTGAGCATTCGACATCGGTTTAGATGCCAAGATTAATCAGTCTACGACTGTAACGTTTGAATGATACCTGTGTTCGAAAAAGTGAAAAATTGACGAGTGAAATGAGATATTCAACATCAATGAGTTCAATTCTGTCTTTGCTAAACAGAGTACTTGACTGCTGCATGTCTTCGCGCATCTCAGAGAAAATTATCATAGTGCATAAAAATACAATAACTCTTCCAAGAAATCTATGTTAATCCGGAAGCGTCGCCAGCAAACGAAACGTGCACAAGTAATAGGAATGAATTTGAGATGTAATGAAATATTGCTTATGACAGAATCATCTAGTAGCGCTAAAGCGTTATCTAGCTCGGACGAGAACTTTGCGCGAAGTGTGGATCAAATTACTGATCAAAACTATTAATTGCTTAAATATTAGTGAATTGGGTCCTAAAGTGACCGAGTAGCTGAGAGGCATTAACGATATTGATATCATTACGTTAATAGACGACCATGTTCGCGTAATAGACACCACAAGTATACACAACTACATACTTGTAAGATAGTATACAGACATTAATACGCAACATAAGTACAGATAAATACACACTGTAAGGATAGGAAACGAAGCTTGAGGAATGGAAAGACATTGGGGGATTTTGCATACACAATCTACTTTATGCTAGAGAAAAAGGAAAGGATACATAGAGAGTAAAGAGGAGAAAGAAAGCAACGCAGTCTTTGACCAAGCAATGAGCATTTCATATAGCGATATGAAAACACGTGTAAATTAAAGTCCATTGGGTGGTGTTCGGTTTGATGCTGTCAAGAAGTGGTCACTATCAATACTTTATAGGTAGCTTATTTACTAGCATGCATATATAAAATTTAATGGTATAAATAGCTTACTGCATTCTGCATTTCTTGTCGCAATGCTCCAATTTACTTATATATATCAACAACAGTTTTGATCATTTTCACGTGAAATATTTAACGATCAAAGTCACGACAAAAATGTGTTACTGAACAAGACTTCTATGTTCTGCTCGAGTGGTTCAGACAAGCTTTGGACACTACAAAGACATTACTGAAAAGGATGCCCCGTAATTCTATATAAGTAGAAGTCTTAGTCTAGAGAATTATGGTAAAATGAATCGTGCATTCTGGTTTAAGCCTAGAAAAGCATAGATAGGAACATAGTACGTAAGATTTTGGCTGACTTGAAGCATTATGATGATAACAACTGAATATGCTTATGAGTAAACATCGATCAAGTGAAAAAAGGCTTCGATATGAAAGAGTGAAAGCCAATAAATATTCTGAAAAAAATTGAGAAGTACAAGCAGAGTCAGCTGTTTTCGTAAAAAACCAAGAGAAAGGTAAACAAACTGAATGTAATCAGCTGTTCTTAGCAATTTTGCGTGACTTGAATAAAGATGGATCTTCTCAGCAGTGATATGTATGAATCGTTAAAAATACCATAATCCTGAGCTTTAACCATCTGTTTTTATCAAAAGCATCAGACAGGTAAACCAAAGAATAACAAGTTCCCAACGTAAAAGATGTATATTTTGATTGAAGAGATGGTAAGTCGAAAAAGAAAATATTGAAAAAAATGAGCAAGGAAAATTCACTGAATTACTTCAGCGACAACAAACATTACAGGTACAAGGGTAAATAGAGAGATACGTACGTGTACATAAATACACGTCATGTATCTATTATCTGCTACCTATGATTTAATTTTTGAACAAATACACAAGTAAGAGACAATTTTTAAATAAAGAACCAGAAATGAAGGTTAGCTACTTTCAATTTACTAACAACTGCATACAATTCTATGCACGACAGTATCTTAATCAGTAAAGCAATAGTAAAAAAATGACCAAAATCAGGAAGTTTCCATCAATAATATAAAGCCAAGGAACTAAACAATCAAATATTGCAAAACAAAAATATAATTCATAAACTGAAAAATAACAGATTATTTTTGCGATGGGCAAATGCTTACCTTTCTAATTAGCGAAAATTTTAAAACATGAGACAGTAAGTTTTCAAAATTCAAATTATGCACAGAAATTGTATGGGAAATACAAAACTGTCCAAGATTTAAGTACGAGAAAATAGCGTAATGCAGGCACTATCAAGAGCCATCTCATCGATGAAACAAAATTAGTCTTAATGATTTTAAAAACTACGATCATACAAATCTCAGTATGCAACAATAATAAGGGAAGTAAAAATATCACTTTGCGCTGAAACAAAACAAAAATGAGAACTCTGATGAACTTTTAAACAAAATGAGAACTTTGTGCTGAAAATATAACTGAAATGGAAGCGTTCTTCTAAAAAAATTCATGCTTAAATATCTAACAATTATTTACGCATTCTTACACCAGTGTGATCAATTAAATAAATACATTTAACCAATTAGAAAAATGTGACAACCAAACCTCAATAATCTATATCCATTCGTGGCTTAAAAGAGTCTCATTTGATTATTTATTCCCTATTAAATTTTACAACGAAGTCATGAGTTTAAATACAAACGACGTAACCAGTTCGCTTATGTATTTGCATATGACATCATAAAGAATCATCTCTAACCTGTAACTTCTTTAACACTTAAAATATGATACGCAGTTGAAACATTAATTATGCTCGTACGTGCAAAGTATACTGCAACCATACATCGCAGTTATCTCTTCAATTATAACAGCTGATGACATAGCAAAGGAACGTACTTATCTCAGCTGCTTGTTCACAGTGTGACAACACAGTACTTACCATTCTTCATGTAGTAATTTCATTTCGCACTTTGCTTCCACAAAGACATTTATTTGTGTGAAATGTAAAATTACAAATTACGGAACTGAAGCGTCACTCTCCTCACATCAGAATCTTTGCATTTTGCAGTCAATTTTTAGACCACTTAAACTCACGGAACAGGAATCAGTACCTATAGAGTTGCATCATGACACTTCTGGTCGTAAAATCAACAAAACTGAACGGGTACTGATAAACTACGAGATGTCGTACCACTTAGGTTGTAAAATTATCGAAAAACAAGATAAATAAATGACTAAATCTAACGTTACTAGCCAAGAGATGAATTCATGGTCTGAGGAAAAACATACAAAAAACTGCACTTGCAGAACTGACCCATGGTCATCATAGAATCGTTGAATAGTAAGAATTATGCAACCAAGGTGACTTGAAAAAACATACTTAAAACCATGTTTACACTTATTCCGCTTGAAACTTTACTGATACGAAAACTGGTTGAGCTCTATGTGCAACCAAGAACTATTAGTGACTAAAAACTGCGAAACCGAACAACCGCTAAGATGGCAGCGCAAAAAATGTTGACTGAAGACAATCGCATGGAAAATAAATTACGAATGCATTACAGATATTTTGGCGCTGTTCTTTCATTTCAAAATTACACTTGTTCTGCTAAGAACTAATTGATGAGCAATATTTGTTTAGTAAAGGTAAAATGCAATATCGCTAAAGAGAGACAAGAGCAATTTATC